TCCCCAGGTGTCTGGGGCCCCAAGACTAGGAATGGCTCAGGGCCCAAGCTAGGAGTAGAGAACAGTGGGTGAGATGGAAGGGTGAACGCGGCTGGTGGAGTCAAGGTGCAGAGGGCTGCAAGGTAGACTTACCCCCAGAGAGGCCTGAGGGCGGGAGACCGGGCCAGGAGAGTTAGCCAGTGGTGCAGTTCCGGGAAGCAGGAAGAGGTGAGGTCCTGTGAAAGAACTTTTGAAAGTCTAGTCATTGTCATTTGTAGACATGTTTGTTTATAAGTCCAGAGACTGAAGCTAAAGACATAAGCTGTAATCTCTCTACCAATAAATATTTTTTATTTCAAATGATTGATGATTGCTTCAAATCAGCCTTTGTATGCATGCACACACACTGTGTGCATAGTAGTTAAGAATATGATCTAGGGTCTGGAGAGATGGCTTAGTGGTTAAGAACGCTGGTTGTTTTTGCAGAAGACCCTGGTTTGAATCCCAGCACCCACATGGCAGCTAACAACTGTCTGTAACTCCACTTCCAGGGGATCTGACAGCCTCTTCTGTCCTCTGTGGGCATTGCATGACATGGATGCACTTACCTACATGCAGGGAATACACCCACACACATAAAATAAAAATAATAAATAAAACATGAAAAAAAGAATATGGTCTAGTTTACCTGTATCCAATCGATACAGGTGACCTTAGATATTTCACTTAAGCTTTCTTTGTCTACACTTTCTTACCTGTAAAATGGGAGCAAGAAACAGCACCCATCTGAAAGGATTTTAGCCAGGATTAAGTCAGGTTAGTATATGTAATATAATTGGACCAGTGCAGGGTTCAGAGTAACATGGTTGTGTTTGCTGTTAAGGAGCAGTGAAAGTTGTTCTCACTAGGAGCTCTCACAACCCACTATTTTCCCTAGCAAATACAAATATAACATAGACCATATTAAAATTTCTAGTAGTCACATGTCAGAGGTAAAAATTAACCCTGAAGCTTAATTTGAAAAATCTTTTAATTTATCCCACTATATAAAAAGTTTCAATATGCAATCAATTTTTAATTAGTGTCATCATACTGTGTCTGAAATCTGACATGTATGTCATACTTAAATCTTGCCACAATTTTGGGCTGGTCATCTTCAAAGGCTCAGTGCCCTTGGCTCTGTGTTTGGATCCTTTTCTTCACTAGGTAAAGACTTACAAGTTTGCACAGAACACAGTCCAGGTTTACTGAAGCAGAATTAACAATCCCCACAGCAAAGACAGACCCCCCCTCAGAAGGGATGGGGTCCAAAGCTGTCTACCCCCCTGGAGCACTTTCTACCCCCCTGGAGAACCTGGGCTTTTATATTTGTAGACCAGGTTTACTGAAGCAGAATTAACAATCCCCACAGCAAAGACAGACCCCCCTCAGAAGGGATGGGGTCCAAAGCTGTCTACCCCCCTGGGGCACTTTCTACCCCCCTGGAGAACCTGGGCTTTTATATTTGTAGGGTAGGAGGCAGGACAGGGTTCTCCCGTAGGACTAGACAGGGCAAGTTACATGTTGTTGGTTGGTTCACTCATGAAAGCTGGAACTTGATTGGGTAGAGCAAGGGCAGGAAATGTGAAATTCTCAACAGAGGGAGCTAGGTTGTGTGTGTGGGGAGCCCACCAAAAGGGCCAACTTTGGATAAGAACGTGTATGTAAACCATCTTGTATGAAAGTAGTTAGAACACAGCTGAATCTAGTTTGGGGCCTCTTCCCCTGACAATCTACCTAATTTAGAACCATCTCCCATTCTTCAGTATTAGCTTGATCCATAGTGTGCCTGGAATTGTACAGCTAGACTGCCCAAATGAAGACTAAAACTTTGACATAACACTCCCCTTTCCCTTACAGTTCATGTGACAGTGTTACCAGCCTGTTTAGTGGCACCACCAACCTGGCAATAGCATTGGGTTCAAGAAAGTGTGGCACCTCATGCTTATAATCCTAACACTTGGGAGCCTGAGTCAGGAGACTCTTAAGTTCGAGAACAGCCTGGACTGCCTAGCAAGATCCCCCAGCCCCCACAAACACAGGTTAAAAACATGTCTCTTCTGTTCTACCAGCTGTGTTGACGTTTCTCATATCTGGACAACATGTCTTCCATATTCTGGTTCCTGAGACTGAAGCTCACTCTAATAGGCCTTTGTTTTTTACTTTTCTGTCTGTTCACTATCTCATTCCTCCAGGACCTTAGTGTGATTAAATTATAGTCAATTCTCATTAATCTCAGTAGTTGTATAAACTTGTTGCAGGCACTGAATTAACAAATATTGAACCATTCTTCCAGGGGAAATATAAGATTAGGTTCCTGTGAGCCTCTCTGGCACAATGTTATACCAGCATAACCTTATTTATGTGTGTTTCCACTTAAAGGCACCCCAATTCAGTGCTTATCCATTTAGTTTTAAACTACAACCAACAGTACCATAATTCATGGCTAAATAAATCTTATCTAATACATATACTGGACCACACTTCAGCACTGTGCTTGGATCCTTTTAAACAGTGAAGTCATCAACAAAAAGCCTGCAAATATATGGATTTGTAAAAGGATACTTGTTTTATGGCATGAGACCTAAACAGGAAGGCAGAGCATTGCTCTGTTTGACCCCAGCTGGGATCTGCTGCACTGTGCATTTCTACGAACAGCCATGAAAGCACTAAGAGTTCTCATTTTCCGAGATACAAATAGTGAAGAGGCGTATCTGTGAATAATGAGAATCAGCTGTATTGCTTACTTTTTGTCAGCGTTTTCCTGTCAGATATGCTTTCACTGTACTTGGGTGGGCAGTTGTGAAACTACTAGGTTCCTTCAAGCCTCATCACATGGATGCTCATTAACAGTGTGCTGCCCACCCTGTGGGTAGAGTGAGCTAGGGAGGGTATCCTGAAGTTTGCCTGTGCAGTCGATTCTGAGAAGGAGCAAGGCTCTCACTTGGGAAAAGGCAAAAGCAAAGGATCTCAGAACATACTGATTTTTAAGTACAATTTCCCCAGGGTCTGGGACTAAAAATGGAAATAGGAGGGGTCTTAGATAAGTGGAGATTTATCACTGAGAGCTAGCATTAGCCAAGTAGGAGTTGAAACTGCCAGGACTCTGGGTGAATGGGACTGAAATGCCCAGAGTTGCCTTTTCTTGGGAATTTGTTTTGTGGATCCTAAGTAGATTATTCTGAGATATAGATACAAAATTTAGGGTGAGGACAATCACTGGCTCACACCTCTGCTTACACAATCGGCAACAGATTATGCAAGAATTTTTGATATGTTCATCTTGTTTTGGCTAATCTCATCATTAATCAAGTTGATGCACTTTTCTAAATTCAACAGGACCAAACTCTGTCTCTTGTCAAGACATTTTCTGTTTGAAATAAAGAAAAATATATGTATATATTGGAAGGTATTCCAATTCTATCAAGAGAAAAAGGAGCATATTTAAAACATACTATGGTTCTTTTATCATGTAAGTATTCATTATATGGAATTCTCCTTTTTGGAAATCTTCTGACACTGCATTTTCTTTTTATAAAGCAGGGATTGTACTTACTGTTTTTATATGAATCAATCCTCTTTCACAATGGAAACTCTGATTTCCTTCCTTCCTCCCTTCCTCTCTCTCCCTTCTTTCTTTCTTTCTTTCTTTCTTTCTTTCTTTCTCTCTCTCTCTCTTTCTCCCTCCCTCCTTCATTCCTTCCTCTCTCTTCTTTCTTTCTTTCTTTCTTTCTTTCTTTCTCTCTCTCTCTCTTTCTCCCTCCCTCCTTCATTCCTTCCTCTCTCTTCTTTCTTTCTTTCTTTCTTTCTTTCTTTCTCTCTCTCTCTCTTTCTCCCTCCCTCCTTCATTCCTTCCTCTCTCTTCTTTCTTTCTTTCTTTCTTTCTTTCTTTCTCTCTCTCTCTCTTTCTCCCTCCCTCCTTCATTCCTTCCTCTCTCTTCTTTCTTTCTTTCTTTCTTTCTTTCTTTCTTTCTCTCTCTCTCTCTTTCTCCCTCCCTCCTTCATTCCTTCCTCTCTCTTCTTTCTTTCTTTCTTTCTTTCTTTCTTTCTTTCTTTCTTTCTCTCTCTTTCTCTCTCTTTCTTTCTCCCTCCCTCTCTCCCTCCCTCCCTCCCTCCCTTCCTTCCTCCTTCCTTCCTTCCTTCCTTCCTTCCTTCCTTTCCTTTATTCCTTTCTCTCTCCTCTCTTCTCTCTCTCTCTCTCTCTCTCTCTCTCTCTCTCTCTCTCCCTCTCTCTCTCTCTTTAACAGAAGCAGTCTCAGATTCCCCTTCAAAACTAGAGTTGGTTTTCTTTAAGGGACCACACCCTTAAAGAAAACTGACTGTCCCTCCCCCAGAAGCCATCAACTGCCCATCGCTCCTCAGCTCGGGGTAGGAGCTCAGCTTCCCCCTCCATGCTGGAATACGTGGGCTGATCTGTGCAGGTCTTGTGCAGACAATCACAGCTACTGTGAGTTCATGAGTGCAGTGGTCCTGTTGTGTCCAGAAGACACTGTTTCCATCCCGACCTCTGGCCCTTACAATCTTTCTACCCCTTCTGTGATGGTCTCTGAGCTTTGGTGGGATGTGATGTAGAAGTCCTATTTGTGGCTCAGAACCTCACTGGCATTTATTCCCTGCACTTTGGCCAGCTGCCCTCACTTCCTTCTTAAAAATATGGAATGCTTCATGAATTTGCATGCCATCCTTGAGCAAAGGCCATGATAATTTTCCCTGTGGCATTCTAATTTTAGTATGTGTGAAACTGAAGTGAGCACCATGTTTATATTTTGAACAAAATCAACAAGCGCTTATGGATGTATTTCTATTCTTATTCAAACTTTATAAAAGTCAGAGGAGAATACAAAGAGCAGAAAAAAGCACACAGGATGACATAATGCTTTACAATAGGAAGATCAGTAACTAAGTTGGAAAAGATGCTAAGAAGTCAAGCAAATAGAAACCTGGATAAGATAAAACATAAATAATTGATCTCACAGAAACAGAAGGTAGATTGGTAGTTACCAGAGGTTGGGAGGAAAATAGACGGAAAGAAGATGGTCAATGGGTAAGGGGTGTGTTGGGTTGGACAAATAACTTGTTCTGGTGTTCTAGTATGCAGTCAGTCAGTTATGGTTGAGAACAATAATTATATATTTCAAAATGGATAGCAGAGGGAGGGTTTTGAATGTCCTAAACACAAAGAAAAAAATAAATATTTGAGGCGATGGATGTGTTAGTTAGCTGCTATGCCCTTTAACACTCATAAAGTTCTACAAATGGTATGCACTTATTCTATAGTGCAGTGTGAGGTGGTGGTAGGGATTGTCAGATGAAGCTAGAATTAGGAGTAAATTCTGGGTGCATCAGTCCTTCAGGAGAAATTTACTTAAGCCCATCTTAGCTTTGCTTTTCTTAGCTGGATACAGGTATAAATAGACAATATACAAAATGATAAGATACTTGAAGTAAGTTAAGTTATATTTAATGTAATTCCTCAAACATATTTCTTACACTCTGTTCTGTGCATCTTCATGGAGCTTGAAACCCTTTTGAATGCCTAAGAAAACATTTCCATGCCACCTCATTCTAGTGTGAGTTTATAGCACAGAGGCCGGAGCTAAAGTGTCCGTAGCAGTGTCCTCTCCATTAACGGTTTCTAAATGTCACTTTGAACATTTTTGTTCAGTGAGTATTGTTGAGAATGCCCCCCAACTGAAGACGTGTTTTGGGAGAAGCAGATTCTGAGACAAGGATTTGAGCTCAAGGAATCTGGGGTGGGATATGACCCAGGAAGTGCTACTAATGGAGGGGGAATTCATCAGCAGGTGATGGCTGTGGACAACCAGGTCTCAATCCTGCTGGGGCCTCTCAGAGGCTGTGCAGAACATGCCTCAGAGTTGTCACATCTGAAAGCAAAGACTCCAGGAGACTTTCCTTTTTTGTGGAC